GTGTGTGTGTGTGTGAGTGTGTGAGAGAGAGAGAGAGAGAGAGAGAGAGAGAGAGAGAGAGAGAAATTAATTGAAGCATAGATTATTTAAATGTGACTTTAATTGGTAAAAGAAAACTCAAAAATCATTCAGTCTGTTTAATAAAAATGTTAACTATGCTAACATGTTTTGATCAATAAAAGCTTAAACACAAGCACCTTTAAAACAGTACTGAGCACAACTTTGTTGAAACAAAGTTTAAAATATGAAAACCTGAAAATTTAAGCTCTTGAAACTACAATAAATTAGATAACTATGACTAAAAAATAATGTTACTGCCTTTTGTCTTCGGTGTCGTTTTACTTCTGTTTAGGATTGGATGTGAGGAGGTCTTGTTTTGCAAAGACAAAAAGTCATGTTTTTATTGATTTTACAAAGCCCTTAGGAGGATAAACAACTATCTTTGACTGCAAGACATGGATTATTTTTCTATTAAAAACACTCATCTTTGTTTAAAACTTTGGAGAGAAAAGCAATTTGTAGCACGCACGCACGCACACACACACACACACACACACACACACATACACACACATATATATATATACATACATACATACATACATAAATACATAAATACATGTGTTTATTTTGGTGTGTGTCTGATTTGATGTCTGTCTGTTGGTTTTGGGTTGTGGGGTTAGGGTGGGGGGGTTAGGACAAAGGTCTGAACTGAGTGCAGGCTGGATTAAGGTGCAGGTATGTACTGGTGAGGTTAGGTTTAGGGTAAAGCCTGGTTTATACTTGGAGTTGCACGTCTTGTTCCCCCTGCTGAGTGACAAAAAACTGCGCTACTTCCATCTGAACTCCTGCTGCCACCCCCCATGACAGCCGTTGCATACATTTCCCCCCAGTCAGAACTCTGCGATGTGGACGTTGTGGCTCGGAGCGTGTGGTTGGTTAGAGCTTTGTGGGTGTGTTTGTTATTGAGAAGCAAAGGGCGAGCCAGCAGCAGTCCGGCTCCTCAGTGCTGTACAGAACAGATCGTCCTTGTTAAAAGAGCTAGAAGAGTCGCTGGTTTGATCCTAATAAACATGAGCATGCAGCTGATCTTCACTTTTTTTACCCATCACCACCGTTAACAAAAAAAAAAAAGTAAATAAGTTTTTCCTCTGCAGACTCATCACCCAGCACAACACTGACTGTTGAGTAAAAATAATATCATAATATCCAGCCATCACTGTTATTTTTCTACTTACATGAGCTGTGTGAGGAAAGAGGGAGGATTTTTATTAATTTATGGACCATTTATACTCGGTCAGGAAAAATGAGTCATTTTGCGTCACATTGTAGAGAGAACAAGATGTGTGACTCCAAGTATAAAACAAGCTTAAGGGGTCAGGGTTGGACTATAGAACTGACTGGGAAATGAATGGAAGTCAATTCAAGGTCCCCAGGGGGATAGAAAAACAAATGTGTGTGTTTGTGTGTGTGTGTGTGTGTGTGTGTGTGTGTGTGTGTGTGTGT